AAATAGATCTACTTAAATACATACACGAATTTCTTTTTTTGTTGTAAAAAAAAATGTACTCTCAAGTTAATCTCATTACAAGGATTGCTGTAAATCACATCCCCAACTAGTCATTGATAAAAGCGTATTGTAAAGCTAAAGCCTAAATCATTATTTCTCTAAATCGGAGTAAGAGAACCGATTTTGTTGGCATAACATACCGGACCGATCTCGTCATTCTGCTACTATATTGAAAACATCCACGGGAAAGGAATAGGGAAATATTTAATGAATTAATTTTCACTTATAATACCACTAATGTCTAAATTATTTCCGGAAATTTTTTCGATCTCATGAATATTTTGAAAATAATTCCGGGACGAAGACTAGGGATAATTTTCCTAACACATTCGTGAGTGAGCTAAAATTTCCAGACGATAATTTAGACACGTGTGGTACTGTTAAAAAATTTTAAATCTAAATTTCAAAAGTTGACAGACATGTATTAAAATGAGTGACATTAAATTTGCAAAGTTGGCCATGCCAATTATAGATATTTGAAGTTTTTTAAACAACAAAACAACCATTATTTTATTTCCAAAAAATGTGCATTTCTATCTAGTTATAATTGGTATTAAATAAAATACTCGTATTAACCACAGCAATGGAAATTTTTTTAATCACAATTCGTACTATCTGTGCATGAAAGAGCTTTTTAAATGTCAAAAAATTTCCAGTGTAATTTCGTTCACAGTACCTACCAGGACAAACATTTTCGGAAATGTTTCTGGTTGCCATGGAAACGTATTAAAATAGCAGCATTTGATCGGCTATAAAATAGAGGTGTAACATTTTCTCTCTAATTATTTTTTATTCTTATTTATTATTTTAGCAGATATTTATTGTTTTCTAAAAGTACCAAGTGTACAAATGAGAAAGGACTCCGGTGGTGGTGGTGGTTGTTGTTGGCTCTAAAATACAGCCGGTATCTCAGAAACTATGCGCCGTAGAGTTCAGGAAAAAATTGTTTTCTATATAGTTTCTAATTTCGCGGCTAGATTGCGAAATGCATATGACCAATGATAAACGAGTGACAAGTTGATAGTAAAAACTAGTAAAATTTCGTGCTGAATATGATTTTGATATGTCCGACATAACATAATTTGATATTTTTTAACAAGTTTTTATCATTGATAATGAGCAATTGCGCCATCCAGCTGTGAAAATAATTTTCAACTATTTCTAAGAACGATTTTTGTTAACAAGATAACAGATGAATAAATTGTTCTGTAGATACGGCCGGCAACTTTTCTTATTTATTTTGGACTCTCAGTACCTACTCTTTAGATGGACTATGTTGAATTAAGATTGTTTAACACATTATTCTTTTGTGAATGTAGTACCTACAGATTTCAACTTACTATTTATTATTAAATATACAAATAATTTTAATACCTACTAATTTCATTTAGTATAAAACTTAAGTCAACCGCCTGCCATTGAAGATAAGCTTCTTGCATATTATGAAAATATAATATCCTAATAATAATTGAAAAACTTATAATGGCTATATCTCATAAACTAAACAAGATGATATCATCAAAGGCCTGAAACCGGTTCTAGTATAAGAAAGGGAAAATTAAATAACAAAATACATAACTTACTTCACATCAACCTCCTATGCGATACCTACATTAACAATAAATAAATGGCGACCACCTACTTGCCATTTATATCATTGAAAAGCTAGTAAAAATTTAAAACTAGTTTAAAACGAAGATTTCATGTTATCAGAATTTATTTATTTACGCGATTACCCCCAATTAAAATACAAAATGAAAAAAAAGTAATAAAAATTTATTAATCTACAACTAATTAATGTAAGTTTAATAAATTAAATTTTATAGTGAATATTTTTTTACCTATTTCGTCTGCAATTTTTGAAACCTGGATAGGCTTATTTTAAATGTTAGGCGATATGAGACACTTTAAAAATATCTTCTATTTTATTAAACAAAAATAAAATTTATTTAGTACTTCTCTAAACTTAAATAAGTAATTTAGAAAAAGCAAAAAAGGTGGCTTACATTTAAAATATATATATTAGACTGGGCCAAAAAAATAAAACAATTTTTTTCTTAGCGGAACTATGAAAATATTGTTCATGATGAAAAAAAAATTTCTGAAAGTTTGAGCCCTTAATAATAATATTAAGAGGTGCATCATTGCAGTTATTGATTTTTCAACAGTTGTCGCATTTTTTGCATAAATTTCGGACTTGGTCAATTTTTAAAAAATTTTTCATCTCCTATCCTTGTAGGAAATTAAATTCCCCACAAAAAAGCTCTTCTAGTAAATTTTCGTAAGACGAGTCTATTCTTTGTAATCGAGTTCATTTTGGAAATCCCAAATGCAAAGTGAAAAATTTAAATATATACCAATGTTTAAGGCACGATTACAAAGAATAGACTCGTCTTACGAAAATTTACTAGGAGAGCTTTTTTGTGGCGAATTTAATTTCCTACAAGGATAAGAGATGACATTTTTTTTTTAAAATTGACCAAGTCCGAAATATTATTATTAAGGTTTCAAACTTTCAGGAATTTTTTTTTGTCGTCATGAACAATATTTTCATAGTTCCGCTAAGAAAAAAAATTGTTTAATTTTTTGGACCATTCTAATATATATAAAACACTTTACGTAGGTACTTGTTTTTGTCACATATAAGAGATACATATTAAATCAGAACTTATGTTTTTAAATATTTATTTCATTGAGAAATATAAAATAAATTGTTTTTATTAGGTTTTAATTTTTTGATATCATCTTTAATTCATGATATAGTCATTGTAAGTTTTTAAATTGCCAGTTCCTATGTACATGTTTTATTTATTTTTGGATCCATTCCAGGTATAATTAAATAAAAATCAACAAATTGTAAAATTTTGTAGAGTAACCTTTATGACTTCTTTTAAAGAAACTCCAACGTGAATTTTAAATAAAAGATTGCTTTAGTCTTTACGGTTTTATTATGAAATTAGCTCCAAAAAGGCCAATTCCACTGTCTCTAACACTTGATTCTATTTGTTGAAAATACATATTTACATAGATTTTTTATTTGTTTGTGATATTTTTATAATTTGATAAAATTAACTTTTCGTAAAGAAAAATGAAATCGACATATTGCTATATAAAAGAACAAATATATTTTCAATAACATTTAAAAAAAAAACTTATTAGAAAGGCTTTTTCTCATTAGTACGCCAGCTTATTTACAATTATTATAGTTAATCTAACAGTTTTAAAGTAAATCGCTAAATATAAATGTATAAATAATTTACTGTAAATACCTACGTTTTTGGTATTTAAATTTGTGTATGCCCATGAAATGAACCTGCGATAAAGAAGTCTACGAGTTAAAACTAAAATAATGAATGTAAAACCAGATTTATTACTACTACAAATATCGATTTTTTAACTGCGCGGTTAGATTTCACATTTACATTTTGAATATCGATTTTTTAACTGCGCGGTTAGATTTCACATTTACATTTTGTATGAGAACGAATGCATTACTACTGTTAAGAACTACGTAAACTTGGTTCAATAAGAATATTCTAAGGATGCTTAAATTGTAAATACGTGTTGGCTTCAGAAATTTTGTAAATAATCCTATCTGTTGTTGGGAAGCTCTCGTTGAATTAATTAAAAGATTCACTTTACTTTTCACTACTTTTATTTTATACTTTGATGGAAAATATATACAAGTGCGTCGATGTTAATAGTACAAAACTACTGAAAATACTGAACAAGTTTGTAAATAGAATTCGGGTTTTATATGAACGAGGGACGTGTGACGCTTCTTTGCGGCATGTGTCCTAATTGGATTTCATAATTAAATCGAAAGATTGTAACTAAATGGAATATCGTTGATAACTTTAGGTTAAAGTAATAAAATCTGATTTATTGACTCGAGACATCTTTATGAATTTTCGTAATGCCTTAAATGCATTAAGATAAGATAGTCTAAAGTTTCACTTCAAAGATATTTTGTAATAGAAATATATTTGTATTATACAGGGTACAACAATCCTCCCTTGTTAAGTGTTTTGATGAGGTGAACAATCGTCAAAACACTAAAATGAACAATGAATCAAATTAAGAAAATTTAAAATTTCCATTTTTTTTTATCGCTCGTTCATATGAGTCATTCTCACCAAATTGTGCAATATGAAGTTATGTATATATAAAAAAAAAAATCTTAATTTTCCTGAATTTTTCAAGTTAATCTTTAAAGAGCCCATGTTACTCTTACGATAGGGTGAAGGGTTAAGCTTAATGATCTATACTTTAACAAATATGGGCAATAATAAAAAACAGAATTAACGGAAGTGACACATTTTAATGGAGGTGAAGTTTTCTTTTAAATACAGCTAACACAAAGGTCATTCTCTTAGACCCTAATTACAGAAATAATAAATAAACATAATCCAATACAAAAACAACAAAAAAATAAAGCCCTGAGATAAAACTTAAAACAAAAACTAAAGAATATGTTTATCATATGGTAAATGTTTAAACATATATTGTTACCTATTATTCACAACAGGTTTCTCATGTAATATATGTATGATTTCTTGTTTCAAAATAGACGACATGTCTTCTTTTTCAGGAAAAGCATACTTATTATTTCCACATTTTTTTAGAAACTTTACGCAATACTCTGTTTTAGAATATATTTCATGCACAAGACCAAGAAAATATTTTTCTATTCCTTTTTTGCCTTCAACCTTTAGCTTAACAACGACGTAATCATTGACTTCTACATATTGTTTATTATATAATTCTTCATTTGTTTTTGGGGGTTCGTCTTCTTCGCTTGAACTTTCACTACTATATATGTCTGAATACGTCAAACGCTGACCACTTGTTATTCGTTCTCGAGACGTGGATGGAGCTGAATAAATAAGTTAAGAAATATACTGTTTATATATACAAGTAAATAATAGGTTTATGGCACCCTATCGAGAGCATATAGTTATAGTGATGCCCAATCCATAATGAGGACATTCAATGTTTACATTGCAACCAACACAGGTAAGTGTTCTAGCGTACATGATATCTGGTTTATGCTTATGCCAAGCCAATTCTCTGATGGCCATAGTCCCTTTAAAAGGTTTAAAATTTTCTGGTAATAGAGAGTTCATCTCAGAAATTCTTTGCGATGCTATAGGAATGCATTTAATACCACGACAATTTTCGGTAAGCTCTTTAAGGAATATATCAAAATTCGGTATGTCTTTACCATGGGATACCAACCTGTCTGCCATTTTTTTAAGGCAACCACCCACACCATCTGGTGCACCTTTGCCGTGACCTGGTTCTGAATAGTGCCATCTTAATTGTTCGGCTCCGACTGCATTGGAAATATATTTGGCCATGAAGAAAAACATCTTTTTATTTCTATACTGGGTGCTAGGCCCGTCGCTCAAAAAATTGATTGTTCTTAAATTTGGAACGAGATGCTGAACTTCATCGAAAACGGGTTGTAAATGTGCGCAAATGGCCGACGGATCATGTCTAAGATTCTCAGACATAGTGCAAAGGGACACGTTTTTCATGTCAGGTGCATTTTTTTTTTTATAATAAATAATTACTGTATGCATACTAATCTGCTGCTTGGACCCTCCAAAATGGGCGGATTGTATTTCTTTTCCATATTTGCAGCCGTAATTTTCCGAAAAATCGATGTGTATAAGAACCTCATCAACAGCAAGTTGCTTTTTTATAACGTCAATTGCATGGTATTGGTGCACTATATTTTGAGTATGTTTCAGAAAGCTAGGAACTAATTTTTTAAAGTGATTAACGGCTTCCTCCTTCTTACATTCTACTTTTTCTTTAATTGTCTTCTGACACATCTTTGTCTCTCCTTTAATACTTATTTCTACTTTTTTAGTGATCCACTTTTCGTAACTAATAACTTCCTCTTTGTTAAAATCTAAAATCTTTATTTCATTTCCCAAACAATCTTTGCAAACTCTTAATAAATAATTTTCATTTCTCACATCACAACAAATCTCTTTAATTACATTTGTAGGCATACCAGATACTAAAATTTTTGACGATTTTAATTTAGTTGTTAATAATTCAAAGTTATCATGTAATATACACAAACATGTTTCTCTTTTTTGAGCTGTAGGAAAAACAACCCAAAAAGGTCGAAGTTTGCAGAAACTGGAATAACTTATAGTAATTCTTGGATAGGTCTTTTTAAAATCTTCATAGATATTTTTTAAACTGTCATTTAGGTACCTCTTCTGTTTTTTTGCTTTCCGAAATGTAATAGTGTCCTTTTTGCCAGGACACATTCTGCTGATTTTACCTACTTCAAAGAATGTTTGAATTTTTTGTTTAATTTTGAACAGAACAGCTTTTCTTTCATTAGAGGCCCTTCTGGAATCCATTCCTCTTCTAGAAGTAATTTGACCCAACAAATTTTTAAACTTGTACTTTTTTATTACTTTTCCTGTAATATTATTGAGAACATTTCTTTTCTCAACACCTTTCTTTTGTTCCTTAAAATTAATTTTTATTTGTTCTTTCAGAGCTTCTCCGGCGAGTAAATTTCTTTTAACTTCTGGCGTTACTTGTTGTTTAAAAAGCATCTTTTTCACTTTCTTTTTGGGGGTATCAGGATCTTGCTTTGCCTTTCGACTTAACCTTTTTTTATATTTTCTAACTCGTTTATCTGATTTTCGCAACTTTTCTTCTAGAACCTTGATTTTTTTCTTAAGTTCATCTCTATTTCTCCTTTGGATTCTCTTTCCTGAAACAGATTGCCTGGATGGCCCTGCAACATCTCTACCATGGTCAAATAATATCGGAGTCCCAGGTGGAGTATATTCTTCAAGATGTCTTTTTATTCTTTCATTTCCTTTTTTTCGTTCGTAACACCGTTTGCTCCTTTCTCTCCATTTTTTCGTATACTTCTTTATTCTCTATCACTTAGCTCATTTACAGTTTTTATTTTGCCGGCTTTTTTTCTAGCATTATATCTCTCTCTTTCTTTACGTTTCTGCTCTTCATATAAGATAGGGTCGTTCTTTATTCTTTGCCTTAATTTTCTCATACACTCTTTAGATCTTTGATTCTGGATATTATTCTTCTTAGCCCTAGCCATGTTGATTTGCTGTGAACAAATAAAAAATCTCACTTTCGTTACGTTGTCTCATCTCCGTTAACTATCCACTTAACGGAAAAGAGATTAACGGAGGTGAATATAAGTTCATATCTCCCGCCTAAAATTCTTAACAAGAATGGTTATTCTTGATTTTACTTCATACATCTTACACTAGTTGTACATGCAAATAAATGCCAAGATTTAAAAAAAATTACACAATTACATACCTGTTTATTGGCATTAACTTGGGTGAAAATTCAAGCTTAAACATTTGCACAAACTAGCAATGATTTTAGAAAAAAACACTACCTAAATTGCTGTACACTCACAGACGGCCATGACACGACTAAACTAAAGTAACAGCTGAGCAAAAGACGGGTAGTAGCAACAATGTTGCCATATTTATAAGTGAATTTTACTGAAGTACTAACGGAGATGAGCATATTTTTGTAGACAAGCAAATACAGTCGTTTAAAAACCAATACAAAGTATAAACACTCAAATATTTGTTGCAAGGCAGGTCATTTTGAGTTTTCATTCATTTAAAACTATATACCATAAAGTTTTTGTTTTACGTAATCATCTAATGTAGGATCATAAATCGGCGCATCACTGAGGTGACAATTAACAAACGTGAAACCTCACGTCCTGTTAAGCAAATTAAAAATATTTAAAAAAACATATAATATGTTAAAAAATGTCTATTGGTGAGAATGACCCATATATATATATATATTTATAGGCCTTGGTGGCATCCCTCCATGTTAAAATTGCGTCTGCCGTGGCATCCGATATACAGATGCCACGAGGACTTTCGATGAAACTCATCGCAAATGAAAGGATCCCACCCCTACTAAATCTCGGCAAAATATTGGCGGGATGCCAAAACAGCCTATTTTTGTATGTTTTTAAACATGGTAGTTTGAGCAATGACCGCAACTGCCGCCACTTTCGTGTGCTATATATTCTGAGATATATTTAAAGGAGGTAATGGCATCCAATGATATACATATTCATTTTGAGTACCTGGTGGCCTCTGTATATTCCGTTTTCGGTTTGATGGCATCCATTTCGTTGTTGCCAGATCTTATATTGGTTTATAACTCAGCCTTTTTATTTTTCTAGATTCTGTAACATACTTTCACTAGGATGAGGCGCCCTTGCGATTTACTTCCGAGAAAATAACATGTGTTTTTAAAGCTATTTTTATTATATCTTTTGAAATGTACTAGTTAAATTAGGTACACTTATTCTGTCACTTTTTAAACTGTAATCTGTGAGGAACAGTTTTGTTTTGTATAAAAATTGCACAAATTTGTCTGCCAATGTTGATAAAATTAAAACGCTTTTAATCGTATAAGGCATAAGCTAGGAGAAATTAGCGGACAAACTGGGCGGCGATGCTTGAAAAGTTCAATATTGTTATTCGCTGAAATCTTTGGTTTAGATGGACTTTAGTGTCATGAAAGTTAAAAATAAATAAAAATTATCATTTTTATTGAAAAAATCATTAATTCAGTTTAAAATATTATTTAAAACAAAATATAATTTTTATACCGATGAAACAAAACATTAAGACTAACCAATGATTTAAAATATATATTTTTTTTTTCTTTTAAAGTCAGGTTTTTTGCCGCCAAACAACTATGGGAGCAGAGAGGGGAAAACACATTTAGCCCAAGATTACAAATACAATTCTTATACTACCAATTCAGTACACTACTTTCAATTAATTAAATCAAAATCATTAAATAGCAAGAACTCCAGCATATAATTTTTAGGTCTTTAAAGTCATTCGTATCCGCCGATAAATATTATTCCATCAACTTTCCGTTTGAATTAACTTATTACCTGGAACATTACATAGTAAGTCTGTTTTTTCTGCCTAGGCAGTAAAAATATATCTTTTTAAGTCTTTAAAGTGTCAATAAAAAGCCGCTTTGGGTACAAGAAACCAAGTTTTTTTTTTTAAATATTTGAAAAATGACTAACTTTTAGTATCTATATAAACGACGTGGAATCATTAATTTTCCTACGAATTTCTTTCAAAACTAAACATATTTACATGTTTTCTTTTCGTTACACCTGACAAATAATGAAACACATCAAACTTTTTTTGTGAAAAACAATTATATTTTTTAAAAAAATATACCTTTATCGCGAGATATAGCGGTAAGTTACAAAATTAAACATATTTTATTTCAACGATTTTGTTGAAAAATCTAGAAATTGTTCAGGTAAACAGTTCCCGAGGTAAGGCCAAACTTTATAATTTTTCAAAAAATCAAAGAAGCGACATTATACTTTCCAATTATACAAAGTTCTCCAAGAAAGTGATACATATCAAAGTTTTCCAAAATGGGACATATATTTGAATTTTCCTTGCCTTTCTTATTATAACAATAAAATAGTCTGAGATTATACAGGGTATTTCACACGCTATAACCAGTTTTATATAAAAATCGTACTGATTTCAAAGACGTGTATAGTGCAAAATAAACATTTGAAAACCATTTTGTGCAGTAAAAGGTTTTCATTATTAGTCAAAAAATTTTACCGATGTACTACTTTTTTAATTTTAAACAAATCTTTATAGGGTACGTCAATACAAAAAATTTAGTAACTATTTCTATTTGGGACAAATCTATTAAATTCGTTAAATATTATTTTTATTTTAAACAACATTTTTAATAGATAAATGTTAAATTGTCATTTGTTTTATTAGGCGAAGCGTAGCTAAGACTAGGAAACCAGACAAGGCATTCAGAGAAAAAATGATATGTTCCACACAACAGAAAATTAGATATAATGCCTTGGCTGGTTCCCTAGTCTCAGCTTGGCTTCCACTATGAAACACCAGCCACGGCATTTAATCTTGTGCTTTTCTGGCTAATAAAACAAATAACATTTTCACATGTATTTATTTAAAATAAGAATATTATACGAAATCAATAGATTTGTCCTAAATAGAAATAGTTACTAATTAGAAATTAATAAATTGTAATAATATTTTACCAAATATTTACAACATTATTATACTCTTCACACAGTAGTCTGAGAAGAGTATTATATGTTTACTTTTGTCCGTCTGTCTGTCCGTCCGATCTCACGTTTTTTGTCCGCACGATAACTCAAAAACGGAACATGATATCTTCTTGAAATTTATAGAAAAAATCAAACTCTATAAGGGGACAAAGCCTATTGATTTTGAAAAAAATCGGAATAAAAATGAGGGGTTTAAGGGGGGGTTGAAATTTAAAACAAATTATAAATCATTTAGGAAAAATGAAGTTCTATGAGAGGACGAGGCCTAATAATTTTTTAAAAATCTGATTAAGAATAGGAGGTTATAGGGGAGTTAAAAGTTAAAAAAAATCATAATTTAAAAACGAAATATGATTTAAATTTGAAATTTTCAGGAAAAATCAAGCTTCATAACGGAACAAAGACTATTTTTTTTTTTAAATAAATCTGATTAAAAAGGGGGGGTTTAGAGGGGGGTTAGAACTTTAAACAAATCATAAATCAAAAACGAAACATGATATTAACTTGAAATTTTAAGGGAAAATCAAGTCCTATAAGGGGACAAAGTCTAGTGAATTAAAAAAATTAATAAAAGTAGGGGTTTAAGCGGGGTTTAAATGTAAAAAAATCATAAATCTAAAACGAAACATGATACCAACTTGAAATTAAAAAAAAAAATCAAGCTCTATGAGGTGACGAAGTTTCTTGATTTTGAAATAGATCCGATTAAAAATGGGGAGATTAGGGGGGGGTTGAAACTTTAAAAAAATCATAAAACAAAAACGAAACATGATATCAACTTTAAATTTTCAGGAAAAATCAAGTCCTATTAGAGGACGAAGCCTATTAAATTTTAAAAAATCTGAATAACAGTAGGGGTTTAAGTTGGGTTAAAATTAAAAAAAAATCATTCATCTAAAAGAAGTATTATATCAACTTGAAATGTTTAATAAAAATCAAGCTCTATAAGGAGATGAAGCCTATTAATTACTAAAAGAAAAAATCTAAATAAAAATTGGGAAGCCTATTTATTCCCAAAAAAAATGTTTATAAAAAAATCGCTGGTTAAGAGGGTCTGTTAAACTGTGAAGAGTATAATATAGAATGCCAAGCATTATATATCCTCATTCTAAATTTAAAATTCTTTATTGCTCTTTATTTTATGTATTCGATACATTTTTTGTCTCGATAAAAACATTTTTACTTTTATTCGCTGAAAAATGTTTTTTAAAATAAGAACAATAACATATACGAAACCAATAAACACATTTGTCACAAATAGGAAGTTACTAGTTAGTACTTTATAAATTTTAATAATATTTAACCATTTATTTGAAATTTTCTTTTTACATTTTTTTATAACTATTTCTTATGTATTTATTTAAATTGTCGTTTCAATAAAAACATTTTACACATATTTAATAAAAAATATCTTTTAAAATAATAATATTTTTACGATTCCAATAAACACATTTTTCATAAATAGTTATTAAATTTTAAGGATATTGTAAAAAAAAATTTCAATTAATAAATTGCAGCTAGTAAAATTCTAATCACTAATTAACACACAGTCTATTTCCAGTCAACCAGTGACCAGTTAAAATTAAACTATTTTGTGAATTATCTTTTTTGTCATTTAGATTTAAAAATCTCCCAAAATTATTAGCTTTAGGTATAGAGAATGCTTAACTCAAATTAAACTTTAAGAAATGTTCTTTTAAATGGTGATATAAAATACAATTAAAAAAAAAGGGAAAATGATGTATTTCCGTACCCTATAAAGATTTGTTTAAAATTAAAAAAGTAGTACATCGGTAAACATTTTTGAATAATAATGAAAACCATTTACTTCAAAAAAATGGTTTTCAAATGTTTCTTTTGCACTATACACGTCTTTAAAATCAGTACGGTAAACTTTGATATTGTATTACTTTTTTAGAGAACCTTGTATAATTGGAAAGTATATGTTGCTTCTT